AAAAAAAACACAAAAAACCAAAGTGAACCCACCCTGAACAGGTACAGACAGCTACACTGAAGCTACAGACCCACTACTGAGCACGTGAGTGATGGGTTATAGAGATGTCCCCTGGCCGACAGAAGGACCACATCCTAACGCGGAAGGTCACACACCCATCTCTCCAGCTGCTGTCACACTAGATGTTTTTTGCGCAAATTTCCCACCTATCAAATGCCTGGAGTCCTTCTACCACACTTTAAAAACACATATGCACAAGAAAGAAAACAGAACTAACACCAAAGGGGTGTCCTAGGAGGCAAAATTATACAAGATTCCTTGAAATATGCCTATACTAAATTTCTTAAAGGCTTAAGTAAAAAGACACAGGAAAAACCGGCCAGAAGAAACCACACTACAATAGGGAAAGGAGGAAAGGAAAAAGCTGCATTTCACTAAAAGAAACAACAAGCCAGCAAAATATTTAAATATCATGAGCTTATGAAAAACACCAAAAGTGAATAAAAACGATAACCGTCTAATTACTAAAAGGTATCGAATAATTTCTGAACTGATACATAAGATGCAAGTACATTAATATCTATATATTACCAGAAATGCCAGTTTCCAATTCTAAACCTGCGTTGGGCTCTGTGCTCAGCAGGGAGTTTGCTTGTCCCTCTCCCTCTGCTCCTCTCCCTGTCTAAAATAAATAAATAAAACCTTTAAAAAAAATCGTATCTCTGACAGAAGTCTAGTATCAAGAATATATAAAGAACTCTGACAACTCGGCAGCAAAAAGACATACAACCCAATTCCAAAATGAGCAACGGACTTGAATAGACATTTCTCTAAAAAAGGTCTACAAGTGGCCAATGGGCACATGAAAAGATGCTCAACATCTTTAGTCACTAGGGAAATGCGAATCAAAACCATAGTGAGATACCATTTTATACTCACTAGGATGGCTGTAATTTATTTATTTTTTTTTTTTAAAGATTTTATTTATTTATTTGAGAGCGACAATGAGATAGATAGAGGGGCTTGGGGGGGGGAGGGTCAGAGGGAGAAGCAGACTCCCTGCCGAGCAGGGAGCCCGATGCGGGACTCGATCCTGGGACTCCAGGATCATGACCTGAGCCGAAGGCAGTCGCCTAACCAGCTGAGCCACCCAGGCACCCCTAGGATGGCTGTAATTTAAAAATTAAAGAAAAAAGGGGCGCCTGGGTGGCTCAGTTGAGCGTCTGCCTTGGGTTCGGGCTGTGATCTCGGAGTCCTGGGATCGGCCCCTGTGTCGGGCTTCCTGCTCAGCAGGGAGTCTGTTTCTCCCTCTCCCTCTGCTCCTCCCCCTTGCTTGTGCTCTCTTGCACGCCCTCTCTCTCTCAAATAAATAAGTAAAATATTTTTAAAAATAAAAATTAAAGAAAAAAAACCAGAAAACAACAATTCTGATGAGGATGTAGAGAAACCGGAACCTTCGTCCATTGCTGGAAGGACTATAAAACTGTTCAGCTACTGTAGAAAACAGTCTGGTCCTTCCTCAAAAAGAGAAACACAGACTTAGCATATGACCCTGCAATTTCACTCCCAAGTATATACCCAAAAGAAGTGAAAACAAGTACTCAAAGAAGTACATGTACACACATGTTCATTTATGCCTTATTCACAACAGCCAGCCCAAAATGTCCACCAGTGAAAGAACCGTTAAACAAAATGTGTTACGGCCGTACAATGGAAGAGTATTCGGCCATAAAAAGGAGTAAAGCACTGATTCATGCTACAACGGAGATAAAGAAGGCAGAGACAAAAGGCATGTACTGTATGGTTCCAATTATAGGAAATATCCAGAACAGATAAATCCACAGAGACAGAGCACAGACTGGTGGTCGCCAGGGGCTGTGGGGAGGGAGAATTCGGAGAAACTGCTGAATGATAAGGGGTTTTAATTTGGAGTGATGGAAATGTTTGGGAACTAGAGAGGGGCATGGTTGTATAACATTGTGAATGTAGTAAGTGACATTAAATTGTCCATTTTAAAGTGAATGTCAAAAAAATAAAAAGAAAAAAAAAAAGAAAAGAAAACAATTGCCCCCCCAAAAAAAGGGTTATCTCACCACTTATAAACAAATGTAGTGTTAATCCACTCGGGCCAAGTACTGACTGGTCAGCCTAAAGCAGTGGTTTCTAATCAGGGGCGATTTTGCTTCCCAGGGACATTTAACAATGTCTAGAGGCATCTTTGGTTGTCATGAATACGGGGAGGGCAAGGAGGAGACGGGGACTTGGAGACAGAGGCCAGGGATGCTGCGTGATCTCTCACAATGCACAGGACAGCCCCTGCCACAAAGAATTATCTGGCCTGAGATGTCACTAGTGCCAAGGCTGAGGACCCCGGGACCAAATGTCAAATGATCAGGGGCTGAGGGTGAGAGGGAGAGAGAGTCCTAGAGGTATAAGCCAACAAAAAGAGCATTGTTCCTAACATACAGGAAAAGGGTTGGGAATGGAAAAGCAGGAGACTGGCCCTCCCTTCTCCTTCAGAACAGTCCCCTAAACCAGCTCCACCTCAGACGTCTATGGTGAGAGTCAGACAGTCAGATTCTATTTTGGAAATGACAGGGAAGAGCAGCTTTTTGTTCCTTCTGAAGCTGACAGCGTTGCTCTTCTTTCTTTTTCCTCAGACGCTTTCCTCTCTCAGACTGTCATTTCTGGTAAGAACAGACCCAGACAGCGCCGTGAATGGTAGCATCTCCTGGATGATAAGACGGGTTCTTTTAAATACCGTCCTCCCGGCCCAGTGCAAAAGGAGCCAAAGGCGTAGATTTCTAATTGTTCTAGGAGAATAGGATGCTAATAGAGAATCTGGCGAAAGATCCCAGAGATGATCTAGCCCAGATCCTTCTTCAGTCATGAATCCCTTCGAAAACCTAATAAAACGTATGCATCTTTTCCCTGGAAAAATTCACATATAAACAGGAACATAAAATCTCAGGGGGTTAGCTGATCTAATGAATCCCAATCAAGACAGAATCCCTTCCTTTGAGTGGAAGGGTGTGTGGAGTCCTCTGATCCCTCTGAAAGCAATGAACATCACAGTCACTGGCCAGTTACCTTCCTGCCAGTGAAAACAGGTTCTTATCACACACAGAAATGGAGGCATCTACTCATTTCCCTTTCAAAATCTGGAGCCACAGAAACACAAGATCCGACACCACAAATGCCAGCAAATCTGCTCATCACATCTAGAAACACACACATGCACGCATATGTATATATATGTCAGTAATTTGCCTCAATCTTCCTTCTAGAACCATCCATACTTCTTCTCTGCCTGAGAAGTGATGGTTACATTCTCTTTTCTACATAGAACATAGACCTACTGGCCCCAGCTCACACTTTTAAAAGCCTTTTCCTGCACTGCTTAAATGAGCTCACCGAAGCTGCAAAATAGTGTGCGAAGCTGTCATGAGGGTTCCACTGCACAGCTCCAATGTCCCATTTGCTCTGGCGAGAGATCTTTCGATGACCTTCGAAAGGGGCATCTAGATTAACGATGTATAAGAATCGGCGGCTAGGAAAACAACATCAACATTATAACGATGTAACAGCATTAGCATTAAGACATTTGGAAAAGTACATTTGGAATTACATATGGTTTGCAAACAGCGCTCAAAAAAACCCCAGATGTGTATGACGTTCATCTACTCGGAAAGGCATACGACAGACAAGAGGGAGCCACATCCCTGTGCGAGCCTGTCTTCAGACATGGCCTTCCCCCTGGATCCTTGGAAGTCTGACATCTGCCCACCGGACTCAGCACCAAGCCTCTCTGGTGTTTCCCAATCGCCCCACTAGGGTTGGTCCCTGTGTCCACACTACTCCTACTATGCAGTTTGCTTTGTGAGGGTAGCATTTATCTCTGTAGTACAACTACTGATGGTAAGGCTTCGGTCCCGAGCCAACTGGCTGGAGTAGGGACCGTGTCTCCAATCTCTGCAGGTCTCTCCTCACCAGGCACAGTGCTCTGCATTCAGTAAACGTGCGCTACACACATCACTCATCTCTTGGTCAACTATCCAGGAGAAAATCTCAAATTCCCTTACAAGTTGCCGACCTGGTGAAAGCAACTAAATTAAGTCTGTTGGGAAGGAAATAGTAACCAATAAAGTAATAGTGAATATAACATATTAAGCACTGATAATGTTCAAGGTGCCAATCAATATAAAGGCTCTGAAAACAGGAGTGTCCTGTGTTCACCTATCTTCCCTTTGCTTTAAGTGAAAAATCCTTGGTGTGTGAATCGACATCTCAGCAGCCATTAGCTGTCGTTAGAGAACACGCCAAGCTCCTGGGTATCACTGAGGATAGGTGGGCTCGATGAAGAAAAAGATTAATCATCCCTGCTCAGAGGAGATAGGAAATGCAAGTTAAAATGGCACGTCAAACTCTAGCAGAAACCCGACAAGAGAGGCTTAGGGGGGAAGCAGGAAAACACAGGCAAGACCCAAATTCACAGAACTTCCGGAACTTCTGGTGCAGAACAAAGATCTAGAATCTCTGACCCCCTCTGAAGGAATCACCTGATCCTGTAGCAGGGAGGATGGCATCTTTCCATTAGCACCAACAACAGGAAAAAAGGCCGAGAGCTATCCATGTGGGGCGCGAGTCAAGAGGGAAGGTCAGAGGCATGACAGAGCAAAGGGAGACCCACAGAAAGCAAGCACTTCAGGATAAACACATCTGATCGAACATACATGTGTATCTTCATTCCTCCATGAAGACCCACGAAAGTAAGAGTAAAAACGTAAAACACAGAAACCCACAAAGACAAAGACAAAGACAAAGAGAGAGGAAGTGAAGAGCACAAGGACAAATGGTAACTGATGGAAAGAAAGCAAACACCCACATGCCTGCAAAGGGGATGTGAATGAGAGGGAAGCTGATTCACGCTGCAGAACTCAAGCGAGCCCAGGAGCTGGAGGCTTTGGCCTACGGGCAAGGGGAACAGAGAGGCTGCAGAACCAAACACAGAACAGAACAAGCATGGTTTGAAAGAGCACTAAGGAGAGTGGTTTATGCACACCCCAGAGAGCCAGGTGACCACCTCTCCTTCACCCGGCTTGAGGGGGGGACGTGCTTTAGAGAAACTACTTGACGGGAGCCCCAGGCCTGGGACAAAAGGCATAGCAGCGTGTGAGGATGAGGAGCTGTACTTAAAACAGGGCACTGAGGTGGGGTGTGAGGCCTCCCGGCCTCTGCTCTACTCAGTACTCACAACACTGAGCTTTCGTCTTGAGACAACAAGTGACAAGAGGATTCTTCTCAGGGGAAAATGACCAGCCCAAGAAAAAAACAAAAGCAAACAAGTTAACAACACAGAACCCAGGAAATAACAACATCTGGGTGCCCGCCAAAAAAAGGGGTCTGGTTCCCACCTGATCTCCCTCCAGTGAACCCCACCGTCACACATGTAAACTGATCACTCTTGGACAGTAACAGAGAGCCAGTGAGTATCAGTCACCAGAGGAAACATGAAAGACAGGCACCAACATGATCGAAAGAAAAAAAGGAAATAAGTAGTGCAGAGGAAAGAAGAAACCTAGAATGAACACTGTCAGAGAGGTAAAAGAAGACAAGGTAAAGAACAGAGAACAAGAGAGAGCTCCTAGAAATGAAAAGCATAACCGAAATAAAGAAATCTGATCGAAGAGTGGGAAGTTAAAGCTGAAGGAAACTCCCAGAATGCGAAACAAAAAGGACCAAAAGAAAATTCACATAGGATATCCAAATAGGACTAGGAGCAGCTCCAGAAAGAATGAGAGCAGGAAGTAGAGGGGTGGAAATTACCAAAGACGCAGTACAGGAAAACTTCTCCAAACTGGAAGACACAGACTTCCAGAATGAAAGGGCCTTCCAACAGTGCTAAAAATTACTCTGGATCTTAATCTGAATGGGGATCGCATGGGCGTATATATTTGTGAATTTACTTGAGCAGTTCACTTAAGTACATACTTTATATATTTTCTTTTTTTTTTTTTAAAGATTTTATTTATTTATTTGAGAGAGAGAATGAGAGAGGGGGAGGGTCAGAGGGAGAAGCAGACTCCCTGCCAAGCAGGGAGCCCGATGCGGGACTCGATCCAGGGACTCCAGGATCATGACCTGAGCCGAAGGCAGTCGCTTAACCAACTGAGCCACCCAGGCGCCCCCATACTTTATATATTTTCAAGTTCAATGTAAGAATACGAAATGGTGAACCTTTAAGATTATGTTGAAAAATAAGATGGATATATATGTATCTAAGAGCACACCAAAACAGGAAAGCTTGCCTGACTTCCAGTGAAGTGATCCCATTCCCTCCTAGGATGCTACAAATAACAATAGCCACATCAGTGAATGCAGAAAAGTCTAACATTTGAGACACAGTTATCCCTTAGCACCTCTGTATTTTATGGTTGTTAATATGACCACATGATGCCAAGTATATATTACGTTTCTGTTTAGATAAAACAAGGAATGATGCATAAAAAAGAGGGGCTCTCCAAGTGCCCAGCACAATGAATGAAAAAAAGACATACACCAAGGCAATCACAGTAAAAATATCACATACCTGGAGGTACAAGTAACACTAGAGACAAAGATAGTATTTGAAAGCTTCCAAAGACAAAAAATAGGTCACATACAAAGTCCAGAATCAGAATGGTATAGGACCTTTCAAAATTACTCTGAGAAAAGAACCCCAAATACTGATTCAGCCCAAAAACGGTTATATAACTAAATTGGAAGGAGGGGGGAGGTCATGTAAGGGACACACAGAGGAAAATAAAAGTGCTAAATCCTCATCTATTTTAAGAAGTCAATTTGTTTTGGGGCACCTGGGTGGCTCAGTCGTTGAGCGTCTGCCTTCAGCTCAGGTCATGATCCCAGAGTCCTGGGATCGAGGCCCACATCAGGCTCCCTGCTCAGCGGGAAGCCTGCTTCTCCCTTTCCCACTCCCACTGCTTATGTTCCCTCTCTCGCTGTGTCTCTCTCTGTCAAATAAAGCAATAAAATCTTAAAAAAAAAAAGAAGTCAATTTGTTATATCTATGATGGATAAATCAAGATACCGAGTATATGTGTACTATTTGGAACAATGGAGGCAACCCCAAAGAAAAAGCTAAAAGAGTCTCAATTAGTTGTTTCTAATGAGTGGGATCAGAGGTAAGGAAAAGGTGAGGTAGGATTCTGCTGTCTGACAATATAATCCTTGTAATGCTATACTGACTTTTTCAATTATATATATGTATTTCCTTGATTTTAAAAAACCAGGTTTAAAAACTGAGTAGTTAATGAATAATATATCCCCAAAACCACTGACTTGCACACTTTAAATGGATAAACTGCATGATCTGTGAATTTTATCTCAATAAAGCTGTTTTTTTTTTTCCTAACTGAGCGCAGAGGCGGCAGTAAAGAGACATACCAATTGCTCCTTATCTGTGCATCCAGTATGACGTAAGAAAATGGTAATGGTAACTGTCTCTGGGGAGGGGGTCAAAAGGAAGAAGGAAAACTTACTTCTCACTGCATAGCCTTTTTAATTATTTAAATGTCTGCTACATTTAAGGTAAATTAAAATATTATTTCAAAATAAAACAATGAAATAGAAGATAATTCATTAATCTATAAGTGGGTTTGGGGGCACCTGGCTGGCTCAGTTAGTAGAGCATGTGACTCTTGATCTCCCGGTTGTGAGTTCGAGCCCCATGTTGGGTGGAGAGATTAGTTAAAAAAAAACTGATAAATGGGTTCATAAACAACTAAGTTAATGAAAATACAGCAAACTCAGAGAGGTCGTGAATATGAAAGGCGAGGGGAGATTCTGGCCATTAAGTAGCAGCACACTGGTACCATGGCGGAGTGATGAGCAAATGTTGGGATGGCGCTTAGTTGTCAGAATCTTAAAAATGCTGGGCCAGAAGACACCACAGAAATTATGTAGCTTGATTTCTTCATAACGAAATCAAATTCCTTCACAAGAAAACCGAAGTCCAGGGAGGCCGAGTGGATAAGTGTCCCGGGACTCACAGTAAATGGCAATGCCAAACTAGGACCCAGATGCCCTCAATCCTGGTAACTACCTGTGAGACCACAGCAGACCTACAGAGTCCGGGCAATACACAGAAAACTGCAATTCTAAGACCAAAGTACCAGTCACTAAAATTTAAAAGGAATTTTACTGCTTACATGTTAGGGCAGAGACAAAAATAAATGCCAAACAATCCCTCTAAGTACCCCCCCGAGGTCACTAGGAGAGCAGAACAAAGCCCTATGACCACAATCCTTAAAGAGAAAGAGTATTTTCCAACTTCCCAGAAACCTCCTTATTTGCAGTTTCTTCCCAGAAATCGCAGCAGGGGAATGCTGCAAGCTCACTTACCCGGAAAGCACAGCATGCTGCCCAAGACGGTCCACAGACATTGCAGTTGCCTGAGAGAGAGAACACACGTTCAGTTTTGCCCGCGAAGCCAGCTTAGGTTGGAGAAGACACACAGGTAGTCACCTCAGGGTCTTCCTCTTCCTATGGCCCAGCTAAGTCCCCAACTGGCAGGTAGGATCCGTTGCTTACAGGGGACGCTTTTACCCCCTTCTAATCCTCACCCAATCTCACACTCACCTGCCACAATAGGGTGGTTGCTATCTGTTCCCCGATACCAGGATTACCCACAAGCAAGCTGGCATATTCTAAATTGAGAAGACATAATCTAAGACCCTTAGGGAATCTAACTACCTCAGAGCTAACAGAGCCCCTTCCAAGCAAAACTTAACCTAGGACATCACACATGCACACACACACCACCCCACACCACCCCACCCCCTTGCCCTTCCAAAGGCCATGGCTCCTCCTCCAAGCCAAATGGCAAGTGGTAATATTCAAACACCACCCGTGCTGAATCTATGGTCATAGTCTTGTTATTGAGATGCTCAGCTCCCATTTAATCTGAGATTTCTAGCACATTCTAATGATTTCCATTTCCCAGGTCTCCCAGTTCCTAGGGAGCACCATCTTTTCAGGATCCAATGTCCAATTCCCAAAAGACCAGACTGAATCAAAAGAATTTACATTCAGCTGAAGCATGAGGCTGACTTTAATCATGGCAGTTATAGCCCTAAATTCTCTTATTTGGACAAGTCCAAATCCTGCTGCATTCTCAGGATATTACTGCACACTCTCATACATCCTCAGAAATATGTCACAGGTAATATCGGGGACGAGAAGCCAGAGCGCTCTCACTGGAGGCTAAAAAGTGATTGTTATGCATCCTTCATCCCACTAGAGTCGTGAGCAGAGAAAAACCCAGCTGGAAAGGCAGGCAGTGAATGAGATGCAATTTCCACACTCTTCTGAACAATTTAGAGACAAAGGTATGAAAGAAGGCAAGATGGTTCCTCCAACTAGAGGTAGTACAATCTTTCTAGAGGGTGTGTGGTAGACAGCAACAGAAAACGGCTCCAATATTCTGGGATTTAGCAGACGTGATTAAGGACCCAAATCAGTTGACCTTAAGATATAGAGTCCTGAAACAACCCAAATGGCCATGAGCAGGTGAATGGCTAAACAAAACATGGTATACACATACAATGGCCTACATACTATGGTATGGATGAACCTTGAAAATATTATGCTAAGTGAAACAAGCCAGGCACAAAAGAACAAATATTGCATGATTCCACTTACATGAGGTATCTCAGATAGGTAAATTCATAAAACCAGAAAGAATAGAGGAGGCAGGGAGTGGGGAATGGGGAGTTACCGTTTAATGAGTACAGAGTTTCTGTTTGAATTTTTTTTTTAAAGATTTTATTTATTTGACAGAAAGAGAGAGAGCACAAGCAGGGAGGGCAGCAGGGGGGAGAGGGAGAAGCAGCAGGGAGCCAGATGCAGGACTGAATCCCAGGACCCCAGGATCATGACCTGAGCCAAAGGCAGACGCTTAACGACTGAGCCACCTAGGCGCCCCCAGAGTTTCTGTTTGAGATGATGAAAAGTTCTTGAGGGTTGTGGGGAGACAGAGAAACCCAATCCCATCAGCCCTTTAAATCTAGGTCTAGAGGTCAGAGACAGAGGCAGTCAGAGATTCTAAGGGTGAGGCATTTAACATGAGGAAGATTTGCTAGCTGAGGCATTTAACATGAGGAAGATTTGCTAGCTGTGGAGAAGGTGGGACCGCACAGCAAGGCCCTGAAAATGACCCCTAAATTACAACCAGCAAGAAAACAGGGACCTAGGGGCATCTGAGTGGCTCAGTCAGTCAGGTGTCTGACTCTTGATTTCAGCTCAAGTCAAGATCTCACAGTTGTGTGATCCATGCTGAGTGTGCCTCTGCCCTCCCCCCAACCCCCCAACCCCGCTCTTGGGTGCTCTCTTTCCCTCCCTCAAATAAACAAATAAAATCTTTAAAAAAAAAAAAGAGGGGCGCCTGGGTGGCTCAGTCATTAAGCGTCTGCCTTCGGCTCAGGTCATGATCCCAGGGTCCTGGGATCGAGTCCCGCATCGGGCTCCCTGCTCCGCGGGAAGTCTGCTTCTCCCTCTGACCCTCCTCCCTCTCTTTCTCTCTGTCTTTCATTCTCCCTCCCTCAAATAAACAAATAAAATCTTTAAAAAAAAAAAAAAAAGAGGGGCGCCTGGGTGGCTCAGTCATTAAGCGTCTGCCTTCGGCTCAGGTCATGATCCCAGGGTCCTGGGATCGAGCCCCGCATCAGGCTCCCTGCTCAGCGGGGGGTCTGCTACTCCCTCTGACCCTCCGCCCTCATGCTCTCTCTCTATATCTCATCCTCTCCCTCAAATAAACAAATAAAATAAATCTTTTTTTTAAAAAAAAGAGGGGCGCCTGGGTGGCTCAGTCGGTTAAGTGGCTGCCTTCGGCTCAGGTCACGATCCCAGGGTCCTGGGATGGAGCCCCACATGGGGCTCCCTGCTCGGGGGGAGCCTGCTTCTCCCTCTGCCTTTCCCCCTTCTTGTGTTCCCTCCCTCAAATAAACAAATAAAATAAATAAAATAAAATAAAAAGTAGAAGTTGGGGAGCGCCTGGGTGGCTCAGTTGGTTAAGCGTCTGCCTTCGGCTCAGGTCATGATCCCAGGGTCCTGGGATCGAGTCCCGCATCGGGCTCCCTGCTCCGCGGGAAGCCTGCTTCTCCCTCTCCCTCTCCCCCTGCTTGTATTCCCTCTCTCGCTGTGTCTCTCTCTGTCAAATAAATAAATAAAATCTTTAAAAAAAAAAAAAAGAAAGAAAGGAGGGGAGGGAGGGAAAGGAAGGAAGAAAGAAAAAGAAAACAGGGACGGGCCTCAGTCCTATAACCCCCAGGAACTGAATTCTGCCAACAACCTGAATGAGCCTCAGTAGATTCTTCCTTAGGCAACTGAGCCTCCAGATGACAACCCAGACAACTGACACCCGGATTTCAGCTTAGAAGACTCTAAACACAGAAATGAGCCAAGCAATGCCTGGACTTCTGACCCAGAGAACTGTGAGCTAATAAATGGGTATTGTTTAAAGCCGCTAAGTTTGTGGTACAGTGTTAACAGAGAGTGGCCTGGTAATAACAATGATGATAATAAAAGTCAAGGCTTTGACTCAAAAATTGCACCTCCAGAATCCATCCAAAACACAGAAAAACTTTTATACAGAGAGTTGCTTATTTCATTTTATCTACAAGTAAATGATGTGTATTTACATAACAATATTCTCAGTGTTTAAAAACCACACAGAAAAAACCCAGGAGCCAAAACTGCAAATAGAGTATCATAACTCACCATATCACCTTATCAGGGGAAGTTCTTTTTAAAAAATAAGACACAAAAGCCCACCTAACAGATGTGTCCCTACTCCTATCCCAGAAAAAAGGGCCAACATCATGTTCATAGCACATTAAGGAGGGTCATGCTCGGCTGTCCCAAAGGGAGAATGGAGAGGAAGAGAAGGGCATCTAACCAGAGTAAAGCTGGTGCTCCAGGGCGGGGGGACAGGAGTCCCCCCTGGAGGCTTCCCCACCTTAGGGCACCAGGCAGGGAGCAGCTGAGAGATGCTAAGTCTGGGAGTCAGGGGGTTAAGAACCACGGGAGCCACATGATCCCACTGCAGGAGAGGGAGCAGAGCCCCAGTGATGGCTGAGAGAGAGAATTCCCTTGCTTGCTTGCTCATGCTACTTCAGTGGCTCCCACAGTCCACAGGTGAAGGACAACACCCTTAGCATGAGCGTAAAGATCACTTAGACCTCTCTTCGTCTCACTTCCACAGCCTGACTCACGTCTCTCACCTTCCAACCCCATCCCAACACCCCCGCGATGATAAATTCTTTATTATGAATTCCCTCTAGACCTCCAAATTCAAGCAAACACCACCCTCTCACCTCTGGACCCCCACACCCGCTACTTCCTCTGCCTGGATAACACTTCTCTCCCTTCTTCACCTAGCCAATTCCCTCTTGTCCTTCAGGATTCAGTGCAGGCTCATCCCAGAAAGTTATTCTGACCCATCCCTCTTGTACACACCCAGTGGGTCACCTGTGCTTCCCTTGTGCTTCCATAGTACTCAAAGCTTATCTTTACACAGTACTTGGGATACTTTATAATAATCCTCTATTTACTGATACATCTCCTCCATTTGACCTCAATTGCTTACAAGTAAAAATCAACTCACTAGGGGCGCCTGGGTGGCTCAGTCGGTTAAGCGGCTGCCTTCAGCTCGG